AACAATCAAGGAATGGAAAAAATATATATGTTTTTTTTTTTTCCGGGGCCTTTTAATATTTGTGTGTAAACGTGTGTGTGTGTGTGTGTGTGTGTGTGTGTGTGTGTGTGTGTGTGTGAGAGAGAGAGAAAGAGAGAGAGAAAGAACAGCTAAGTGTGTGCGCTCCGTTGCGGCTTCACCCGCGCGCGGGTATGTGGGTGTGTGGGTGTGTGTGTGTGTGTGCGCGCTCGCGCGCGTGGTGGGTGGCGGGGGGGTGGGGCGACCCCGCCCCCACCAATCAATCAATCAATCAATCAATCAAAAAAAAGTAAAACTGAATGAATCAATGGATCAATCAATCCATCCATCCATCCATCCATCCATCTATCCATCCATCCATCAATCAATCAATCAATCAATCAATCAATCAATCAATCAATCAATCAATCAATCAATCAAAGGCGGGGTGGGGCGACCCCGCCCCCACCAATCAATCAATCAATCAATCAATCAACGAAGAAAAAAAAAATGCGTTGTTTTTTCTTTTCTTCAATTATTTGCACTCACGGCGAAACCCCCCCAACCAAAAATTTATTATTATTATTATTATTTTGTTCGACGGGGTGGGGCTGGGGTTGCGCCGCCCCATGGCACTTCCCAAATCCCCAACCCCCCTTCCCACTGGCCGCCACGTGGCCTCAAAGCCGCGCGGCTGCGCGGACACATCCGCGGGGTCGCGGACCTGGCCGCGGCCGCGGACTTGGCCGCGCTTGGCCGCCGCCAGGGGGGATTCGTTGGCCATTAGGTCCGAACTCGAGAACGGTTGTAAACTACGGATCGTGAGACTAGTAGCGACTCCCACGGGGGTCCAACGCAACAAAAGGTTCCTGCGAGATCTGCTAGCACAACCATGGAGAATGAGGCAACTGTATCGACTACCCTGTGCCAGGCTAGTTGCATTGTACCGGACTGCCGGACCTTTCCCCCGTAGCTCGACCCGTAGCACTATTTATACGACGGTAGCACGAGTAGTACGAGCAAATTACGGAGTGGATGTAAAACGAAGGGTGATATTAAAGATTCCGTATTCCTCTGAGTTACAAATGACAGCAGTTCGTGACGTGATTACAAAGGTAACCACAGCCTCCGTAAAAGATCCGTCCATTCGATCACTAGTGGTTGAACGGATGAGGGTGGTTAGGAGAAAGTGCAAGACGGTGGGTAGGTTGATACATAACTTTCGAAAAACGCTTGAAAAGGGACGGATGTCTGTACATGTGCAGATATTCACCTACCTCGCCACCAAGGACACGTTCGTGTAAGGCTCGACGAAGTCAGTGGGGTTCACCGCTTCATTCATAATTCCATAAATGTTACAAAAGGAAGGACTCTTTCAAAATTCCAGTTGACAGAATGCATCATCCAATCCGTTCCTAGGACTTGGAGATCAAGCCTGCTTGCACTCAACGTTGAGGACCTCTTAAGATGCTTCAGTAATAGGTCCGCGTTCGTCATTGCTCGGTCTGAACAACAGGTCATGAGGGAGGTTAAGCAGTTGATGACACTAGTTCTGGTTCCACTCGATAGGAACCCTGGTGCAACTCTGGTGATTTGCCCAGTACTTTACCTCCATGCTTTCCGTATGACTTTTTGTGGGAACTCTGGTTTTCTGCAGAAGTTTGAAAGTGAAGGGAAGATACTCTCCAATATAAAGAGGGACTACACAAGCTTGGAGGTTGTTTCCATATGGCGTACGTGTGGAAAGATTGGCAGAGCATATGTCATACCGAAGGATAAAGACTTGGACAGGTGGCGGCCCATATCACCATCTTGGTCAGAGCCATCATGAACCGCGAGTGCAAGATCGGGAAGAGAACTTTGATATATGCTCAGGTGCCTACCCGAGACTGATCACTTCAGCCTATGATCCAGTGACGACCTCAAGAGGACCTTGAAGAAGTCGGTCGAAAAGTTGAAATGCAACGGAGATACTGTCCTGGGCAGTAGCTACGACATTAAGGATATATTCGCAAAATTACCTCACCAAGATATAGTAACATCGGTTGCCTGGCTGATAAGCCAGCACCAGCGGAGTGGTTTGGTCGCCGTGAAGGTGAGTGTAAGAGGAAAAGCCTGTCGGAATGGCGAGGAACTACCGAAAGGAGGATGAATTTGTATCTATCTCATTCGATAAGATCATGGAGGTTCTGTGATTCGAGCTTAGTCACA